TGTTGGAGGGGATTGACCGTCCCCACTGAAAAAATCATCATTTGGGAGGAACTGGTAGCAACACAGAAAGCCTAAGAATCACCAGTCTCTAACTTAATTGTTTTGCTTTTTAAAAAGTCTGTAAAGTACATGTTTATAAAATTGGAACAATTTGTCTATTTATATTCAATACTGACAACATCAGTATAAGAGAACAGAGAAGGGTCTCCTGGTTAATTAAATTGTGAGGTCTGTTCCAGAATTAACAAACTTACTGTAGCTAGAATTGTAAAAACAAGGTGTATAACAGAAATTCCTTAAGATCTCATAGCTTTCTTTTGGTTCTGTTTCCCCTCAGCTATTGTCTTCTTCCATTCTCTCACAGTTGGAATTATTCCAAGGCCGAGACTCTCCCAGCAGTTCCCCTATAATTCTTGTTAGTTAAATTCCCCTCCTTCTCTATTTGTATGTAATCTTTCAAAATAGAATAACATCAGGCTGTAATATATAATGCTAATTGATGCCCCGTGTGTACAAAATCAAGTTGATTTAAGATCCTGCATTCCCAAGCACTTAAAAAAAATCACAAAAGTAAATAAATGCTGCATGAGATGAAAACTGTAGAAATAAATCTCTGAGTTTGGAAATTACTTATGTTACCATTCTTTAACTTTCTTTTTCCTACATATTTGACTGTTTTAAAATTATTTTCTAAGCCTTATATTTGTTGTAGATAAGCACAGTGACTTATTGACTTTCTGATCAAAAGGAATGTTGAAGGCATTTGTTGGTTTCCTCTTTTTTTTTCCTGTCACATTAATCTAAGATTGTTTGTGTTTTGTCTTCCGAAATGAACTCCTTTCCCAAGTATGAAAGGTCATTTAAAGTTAGCCTCTTGGGCATAAGAGGAAGGTCCCCACATGTTGTCCGCACTGACAGAGGCAAAGCAGGACACCTCAGACTCTTGTGTTTTAGTAAGGGAGGGTTTTGTTCTTTTTGTTGAAATGGATCTGTTTCCCTCAATTTTTAGACTTTCTTATGCGAGTGCATCAACATGAGCGTATAATAAAAGGGACAGTATATCTTCCCGTTTTAACTTCTTTATTTTATTTTAATTTTTTCACAATTTATTCATTATATATCCCAATTGAAGCCCCCTCTATCAGCTCCTCCCGGTTCCACCTTCCTACCCCCTTCCCCTAGTCCATTAAAAGAGGGAGTTCTCCTCTTCTGCTCTCTGCCCGTAGCTTATCAAGTCTCATCAAGACTGCCTGGATCCTCTTCCTCTGTGGCCTGGCAAGGATGCATTGTCAGGACTGAGTGATCAAAAAGCAGCAACCAATTTCATGTCATAGACAGACCTCCTCCCCTTACTCAGGAACCCACTTGGAGACTGAGCTGCCTATGGGCTATATCCGAGCAGGGGTGTAGGTGTGTGGTCTTTGGTTGGTGCATCAGTCTCTACAGGACCTCCTGAGCTCTGATTTTTTTAGCTTTGTGGGGCTCCTGTCCCTATGTCCTTCTATCTCCCACCCTCTTCTTCCATAAAACTCCTTGTGCTTTGCCCATCTTTAGCCATCAGGGAAATGCAAATCAAGACACCTGGGATTCTATCTTACACCGAACAGTATATCTTGCCCCTCGCAAAGCCAAAGAGACAGAATCTGCCTAAAATGTTTGCTCTGTTCCAACTTGCTTACTGGACAAGGAGTCCTTTTCATCTCACGTAGAAGTGTTACTTTTTCTTAGATATTTTGGCAGATTCTAGGCCCCCAAGAAGAATTAGAGGCTCCTTTACAAGGTTTCTTTTCATACTTCACAGTCAAGATGACCTGGTTTAAAAAGTATAATTAAAACATACTATGACTGGCATAGTAGAAACAGGTGAAGGAAGGATTATACTTTTCTCTACCTCTGGACCTTTCTTGAAAAGTAAGGATAGTATAACATTTACCCTTATTCTCATAGCAAGGTAATAGTAAGGAACATGCTAGCTATGTGTGTGTGTGTGTGTGTGTGTGTGTGTGTGTGTGTGTGTGTGTGTAATATATATGCACAGACATACAAATTTGCTCAAGATACCTCACAGAACACAAACTAGTCAGCATTATGAATTATTATGGACTAAAGTTGGGTCTACTGTGGATTTCTTCTTAGTGTTGTTTATTTCATTTTGTGTTTTTTGTTTGTTTGTTTGTTTGTTTGTTTGCTTTGAGCATACTACAAGACTGATAATTCTAAAAGGAAAGCATAAAAATTTGAAGTGTCTGTCTCTAAGGAAATGGTTTGAAAGTATTTTTTGTAGTAAAGCCAGGCAATCCAATTGATACTAAATATCTTTGTACAGTTGTTCAATTAAACTGTAAGAACACAACCTCATCTTGCTGAAATTGCAGGTTGCAGAACATACACTCCACGATCGTACCTTTTGTAAAGTTGTGTGGCTGTGCATATGTGTGTACACGTGTCGGTTACTCCCACAAACTCTGTGCCGCTAGCATAATCTGCACACAGGACACCATTATTGACAGGACACCAAGAGTTTGTTACTTGCTTGGTGTTTACATTTCCCCTTTGTTAGTTTATAGAATACCTCACCTTACCAAAGATGCTATAACATAGGTCTTTGGTACACATGGGTTCTATGTGGGCTCAGTTTATCTTCGTCAGTGTGTTGTGCAGGTGTTCTCTTCAGTAATGGCGCATACCAGCTACTTTATGAAGAGCAACCTACAGTGTTGGCAACAGCCTGGAGTGTTTAGGGGTTCCTTTGGGAACCCTTTGTCCAACAACTCAGTACAGAATTACCCATTCCCAATACTTGTAGCTTCATTTAGTGATGAGAGCCATCCACTTGGGGCTCTGTCTTCCCCACTCTTTGGTAATTTATTTTAGGTCACCTTCATATTTGTATATGTTTTAGAAAGCTTCTACTGTATTAGATTTCTATCCTACCCCTCAGACAGTCATAAATTTTAGCTGTCTCTTCCTATTCTGTCCCTTGGCCCTTCTCTCATTCCTCTCCATGGTTGAGCCTCCCATTCCAGTCTCCTCTCCCATCCTTCTATCACTTTCTATTCCATTTCTCTTTCCTAGGAAGATCTATCTGCCTGCTCCCACCCTCCTTCTAGTCGCTTACATTATACTTCACCTCTGTGGTTCTACAATTGTAGCTTAGTTATCATTGGCCTAACAGCTAATATCCGCATATCAGCCAGTGCATACCGAATTTTGTCTTTCTGGGTCTGGCTTACCTCTTTGGTGGAATAAATAGAAGGGTATTGGCATTAACTTTGAAAGTCTGGTAGAATTATACACTAACACTATCTGGCCATGGGTTTTGTTGTGTTTTTGTTTGTTTGATTTGTTGTTCTTTTGTTTAGTTTTACATTAGGAGTCTTTTAAGCAGTGCTTCTGTTTCAGTAGGGGTTACTGGTGTAACTGTTTAAATTGATTGCTTATCCGATCTTGACTTAATTTTGATAAGTGGTATACATCTAAAAAATTATTTGTTTCTTTTAGATTTTTCCAATTTGGTGGAGTAAAGGTTTTAAAGTATGTCCTTGTAATTCTCTGGATTTCCACAGTGTCTGTTTTTGTGTCCCTCTTTTCATTCCTGATTTTGCTAATTTGTATATTCTCTCTGCTTTTCAGTAAATTTTAGTGAGGAATTTTTTAATCTTACTGATTTTTTTTTCCTCTCAGAGAGACTTATCTCTCTTTCATTGAATCTTTGTGGGCTTTTTTTTCTATTTTATTGATTTCATCCAAATTTAATTATTTCTTGCCATCTATTCCCTTTGGGTAATATTCTTTTTGTGCTAGATTTTCCAGTAATGCTGTTAAGCTATGAAATCTCTCCAACTTTTTTATGTAGGCACTCAGTGCTATGAACTTGCTTCTTAGGGACACCTTCATTTGTCCCATAAATTTTTGTATGTTTCTTATTCATTATCATTCAATTCTAGGAAGTCTAATTTCTGCCTCAACCCATTTTTTATTAAGTAGTGATTTATTCAGTTTCCATTAGTTTGTAAGCCTTCTGCTCTTTAATATGTGGTGGGCATAGAGAATGAAGAGTGTTAGTTCTATTTTTTTTAATCTGTTGAGATTTATTTTGTGTTTGAGTATGTGGTCAGTGTGGGAAAGTATTCCTGGAGGTGGTAAGAAGAATATCTATTCGTTTGCATAATGTTGTCTGTCAATCTCTGTTAGATCCATTCAGTTTATGGCATCATTAGCACCAACATTTAAGTTGGGAGGAGAAGAGCTGTGTTATCCACTGGAAATGGAGTAGGGTGGGAAGGGGGTGCTGAGCAGGTGGTCTGCTGCAGAGCTGGGGATGAGACAGCTAGATCGGATTTGGAGGAGGAGAGGATGAGGCGAATTTTACTCAGTTTATTGTAACTTCCTGCATCAGTGGAGAGAAGACCATTATACTTGTTGCCCTCTAAGTTCCCACAGAAACTACATGGGAGAGAATCACTGTTAAAAAAGTAAGATATTGGTATGCATTGGTAATTAATAAGACATTTTCCTTTAAAGAAATTCTTGTGAACTAAAGACATTTTTCTATGCTTAATAATACTAGAATATGAATGTTTCTACCACTTATTCCTAATACAGAATTGTGTATTGATTATATTACTATGCTACTTAGGAATTCACCCATCTTTCAACTTAACTATTTTTCTTCATTTAAACTTTGTAGTTTGCACCTAATTAAAAATATGAAATATTTTAGCTGATTTGAAACATAAATTAACACTTACACTGAATAGTGAGACTTTACCAGATGCATAGCTAAATAAAGTGGTTTCATTTTGTACATTTTGAATTTATTTTGTTTGCAAATACTGCTAATAAATACAGCAAGTTGTATATGCCAGCTGTTTTACCTAATTATGCTTTGATTTATTTGATTAGAAAGTAGCCTTTGTTTATGAAGATCTTGACTTCATTAACATTTAAAGTTTAACGTTTAATAATATCCATGTCAATTGTTGTTTGTTTGTTTGAAGATACGAGGAGGGAAGCTCATGATCACTTATACCCGTAAAAGTGACGCTGGCAAGTACGTTTGTGTTGGTACCAACATGGTTGGGGAACGAGAGAGTGAAGTTGCAGAGCTAACTGTTTTAGGTAAGTGTATTTTTATCTAACGTCATCCCTGTAAAACATACTCACCATTATTATTTTGTGTCTTTATACAAAAAAGAAAAACCATCTTTAATCAAAGTATATAAATAACCTTTTACATAAAGGAGAAAAAAACACAAGTTGCCCAATATTTGGAGGAAAGGGTTGAAAAGGAATTAGCAAAGCAGCTTGAGATGTTAAAAAAAAAAAAAAAAAACGCAAACATATGAGATTAGTGAAAATATGGAGCACAGTGAGAGGTCTATAAAAGTGTGCAGGTTGGTGGAATAAATGGGAATTTGCCTTTCGTGAACATCCTAAGGGATTTTTGATTCATTCACCTTTTAGAGAGACCATCATTTGTGAAGAGACCTAGTAATTTGGCAGTAACTGTGGATGACAGTGCAGAATTTAAATGTGAGGCCCGAGGAGACCCTGTGCCTACAGTTCGATGGAGGAAAGATGATGGAGAGCTGCCCAAATCCAGGTACAGATGGGGGAGGGGTTGGAATTTCTGTTTCTAATCAGGCCATACGTGTCCTTAGTCGGTGTCATAGTCCTCGCTTCTGATAGCATCACTTTCGGTTTTCACTTCATGAAACTGTTGAACAACCCATCCTTCAAGCTGTAATCTTTTCCAGGGCTAGTGATAAGTGGTTTTATATCCCTAGTCCTGAACTGCAGCAATGATCAGAGCAATGGACTGCAGTTCCTATGATCAGAGCGGAAAAAAAATACAAAAAAACAAACAAAGAAAGAAACAGTACTTTAGAGTGTACTGTGTTACAAAGCTAAGATGTGGGAAGCAAAGTATATGAAATGGAACTTGGATTTATGCTCTCATCAGTTTACAGTTCACTTACCCTGATCTATTTGCATCACAAATTGAGGAACATCTGTAGAGTCTGTGTGCTGGGGTCAGGATGGAATGCTGGAGATGATTAGAATTAAGAAGATACTATCTTGTCTCCAAAGTTTTCAAAAACATGCTAATGTGACCACAGCTTGTATATGTACTGTTCCTTAAACAGATTTCTCTTCTGGTCAGCGAAATTTAATATGAACTTTTTGCAAAGGAATAGGTGGGAGAAGGAAGATGGACACAGCATTAACCATGTAACTATGAGCCAATTAATGGGGCTTCCTTTTTATTAGCTGTAGAATCACCAGGAAAGGGTCAAAGTCAGGACTTCTGGATGTCTGTCAAACTCTTAAATAGAAGAGGAGTAAAGATCTAAGAATTAGGGAACATTCTGATGAGACAGTGATATGGAACATTCTGGTATTTTCACAAGGCTATTGTCTCTTGTGTATTATTCAGCAGCATGTGCTTGGTCCTTGCTAAGTGTTGGCATTATAGCTTTAGTATGGACAGTGTGTATGCTTAGGGAACTTAAAATAAAAAACTAATATAAGCATGAGTAGATACACAATGACATTACTGAGCTCTTTTGGCACATAGATAGGTAGAGAATCAGGAGATACTTCTTAAAGAAAAGTGTGTGTGTGTCTTGATATTCAGGAAAGAGGAGTAAACTATTCCACATAAGGAACATTGGGGCATAGACAGAGATATAGTGAGAAGTTTAGCATAGCTCATGTGCAAAGTATGCGGTAACCAGTCATGTGATGTCAGACTGGAGCAACTGGAGCCAAATGATAAGAGGACCCACGCAGTAAAGAATTTCAGCTCACATTGCATGGCATTGCTGAGCACAGAAGGTTAGGATGAGCAGGTTTAATATCCAATAATAAACTAGGTTTGTCAGAACAGTAGATGTTCCTTCATCATGAAGAGAGGCCACATGTTGCTGTGGCTTTAACAGACGAGAGATAAGTTTTCTAGCAGATCAATGAAGCTAAGGCTCCTGAAGAGAGAAAAACTAAAAGTAAACTGTCACATTGGATGGCATACCTGGTTTCAGTTTTCCACACTGCTGCTAAATCCTTGAGGAGCAAGGCTAAGTGGCCTCAGTTTCCCCATCTACAAAATAGTGTCTGCTGGGTCTTAACCTTTTTGTTAGAACCTCAAAGGTTAAAATGCATAAAACCTCCAAATTATGGGTTCTGTCAATGTTCTAACTTTAATTTGAGCACAGCGGCTTGAGGAAATCAGTTGTTCTTTCAGAGAATGAATTTATTTGCACTCAAAAAGGACCAGCATGGTTTACGCTTCTTTTCTACTTGCTTAAAGGAAAGGCTGCGTGTGGCTTGATGCCTAGGTGTTGCCTCGATTCATAGCTGTAATGCTATGAGCTTCCAAGAAGAAAACCTTATAACTTTGTTTTCTTCTATTATATCATCAGATATGAAATCCGAGATGATCATACTTTGAAAATCCGGAAGGTGACGGCTGGTGACATGGGATCTTACACATGTGTTGCAGAGAATATGGTTGGGAAAGCCGAAGCATCAGCCACTCTGACCGTTCAAGGTAGCACACGGAGAGGGTTTACGTGTGTGCGCATGTGTGTGTTGGGGGATTGTGGGGCAGGGAGGGTATGGGGGTTGTTATTTTTTTAATCATGAGAAATACAATGTTTATGCTTGCAGAATACACTACATTTTAGTTTTTGTAAATATAGAACGTTATTGCTTTAAGTATTTTGTGTCAAATATCGAAATGGAACATTGTCTATATATTATACAATTTTTGTAAGAAATTGAACTAAGTTTTCATAATTAGGGTAAGTTGGATCTCAAGTGATAATATGTTTTGATCTCTGTATCCTGAAACATAGTGTCCTTCTAAACTTTTAATTAAATGATAGTTGTTCCTATGAAATCTTTGTTTTAGAAAGAAAGTAAGTTTTGCATTGCTTCAGGCCGTGTTCCCGATCCAGGTTGTGTAAGCTACAGTATCACATGGATTCTGTACCCCTGGAATGCAGTGTTGGTTTTCAGACTAGGAACTTTATCTCTTTCTATTCATGTAATACCTATGACAAAGCAGATATTGTGCATATATCAAGTGAATAAATCTCATTTTTCCCTGACTAATTTTGATGTAGATTTCTTATTGAGTCTATATGCCAAAGCAGATGGGATGTTCAATGGTAGAAATGTCTTTGAAAGCTATTTGTGTCTTAAACTGATGTTTGCAGATGTTTCTCTCCTCTCCTTTGTATTCAGAATTCAAAAAAAAAATCTCCATTCTTCATCTTTTTTTTACCTCTTCCTCCATGATGTTAGAATGATTATTTTTCATTGTTTCTCATCTGTGAACATCTATTATTTTTCCTTGTGAGAAAGTCTTCATTGTAGAATTTGAGAGGAAATGACCTTAAAACACATTTTATTGCTGTAAAGGATTTCTTATTTTGACAAGTATATATGGTAAACAGTGAGCACGGCCATAAACGACTTAGGTTGTTTCTGGGGCTAACATTAGCAACACTTTGGGCTGTCATCTTTGCTGAATGCTGTCACTTCTAAAGCTATTAAGGAGAAAAAGTGGTGTTTGAGAGAGTTTCTCTGCAGTGGATATCCACAAAAGAGCCTGTGGGCTTTTCCTATTAAAAAAGGAGAAGATGAAAAAAAAATAAGAAAGAGTATTTCCTTCCTGTCCCACTTCGAGGTTTTTAGCTCAGTTTCATAAAAACAAAAGAAGGAGAAAAAAAGTCAAGAACAAACATTGACTTTCTGAGGCCTCGGCTACTTCTCCTTAATCTAAGTTAGGCTTGAAAGTCTTACTCAGGCTAAAACTGTGTGTAGTGAACACTGCTTACATTTAGAGAAAGCATAAATACAAGAGATGTCAAATCCAAGTTCAAAAGCCCTTCCGAGGCAGCAAAAAGTGGCCACAATGAATATAAAACATGAAAAGGTGTGTCTATCTCCAGGCTACTGTGATGGGAAAACTGACTATCAGTCAGTTAAATATATCTCGCTTCATGCTGCAAACTCAAAGCCTTGTAGTCTGATGCTGATATAAACAACAGTCATTCTGTTCCATACACAGTGGGCACTGGAACCACAATCTGGTTTATTCCTGCAATTTTAAACCCAGTTCCAAAGCTAAGTCAGCCTTAAGTTATTCTTGCTCCGAAGCATGAATTAATTTCAATGGAAAAATTGGTTACAAATGATCAGATCCAGGACCTGCCTGCTGAATTTAGACCTTCTCATCTCAAACACATTCGGTTTTCTATGAAGTTATGAGGTATCTGTGACTGACAGAGATTGTATTGCTCCATTCGGAATTAAATATATACATTAGTGTCACTGCTGGAGTTGCTTTAGCATGTTAGAACAATAAACGGTGTACTGAAGAAAAGCAACGCTCTGATTCAAAGAGATAGCCAAGGAGCCATCAAAGGAAACCTAACACGTTTGGGTTTTTTTATTGTATTTGTGTTTTTTGTTTCTTTCCCCCTGTTTTTCCCTTGAGAACATGTAGAAAATATTAGTTGCTACAAATGGATCTAAACCAGTTACAACAAAGTGCTCAGCCGTGTACATTTTTATTTCTATGTGGTTCTTTTTTTGATATTTTTTACTTTTATTTTTTTTACAATTTATTCATTATTCTTTTTAAGAGGGACTATTGGAGTTTGTACTTAAAGGTGACCTTCTGTGCACTCAACCACGCTGTTGGTATTTCATTCACAAAATTCAGGGAGGAAACTTTCTGCATATTAAAATTATGGATAAGAATCACTTTAAATAAGTGTGGTGGTTTGATTTTCACCTCGAATACAGAGAAAATTAGTTCCAATATCTAAAAAGGAACCCTGATTTGAGAGTTATATCTTTTTTCCTGCTGTTTCTTTTTTGAAGCTAAATTCTCTTTTTTTATTATTTTTTACTTCTTACTTTTTATAGTGTACCCAGTATCTTACTTACAACCAAGTCACACACCTGTGCTCGATTCTGCCCTGTTTAAGATGACATCTATAAGATATTCACAGATATTTCTTTCTTGAGTCTAGAATTTTTCTGTGGCTTTTTCTTTCCTTTCACCCTTCCTCCCTGTCTCCTTGTCCCGCTTTCTTTTCCTCCTTCCTTTGTGTGGTGTGTGTGTGTGTGTGTGTGTGTGTGTGTGTGTTTGTGTGTGTTCATGTGAAAGACAGAGATTGTGCATGTGTGGTGTATGTTTGGGTGTGAGGTCTATGTGTGGTATGGTGTGATATGAGCATTGTATGTATATGCTATGTGTGTCTGCATTTATTGTGTATGTTGTAGGTGTTGTGCGTGTGTGTGTTGTATGTGAATGTGTTGTATCTGTTCTGTGTGTGTGTGTGTGTGTTGTGTGTGTTGCGAGTGTAAATGCCTGTGTGTGGTTTGTATGTCTTTGTGTCTGTGTGTGTGTGTATCGATGTATGTGCTGTATTGGTTGTCTGTATGTACTGTATGTTTATGATGTATGTGGTGTGTGTGTGTGTCTGTGTGGAGGAGTGTGCATTTGTGTGTGTTGTATGTGTATTGGGTGTGTCCTGTGTGGTGTGTGTCAGTATGTAATATATGTGTATGTTTACATTTGTGTGTGCATGAAATGTGTGCGTGTGCTTATGAGTGGTTGTGTTGTGCTTGTGTGTGTCTCTGTTGCCAGGTGCTATCTTTATGCTTTGTACTTGCTAGGCAGTTGTTCTCCCACAGAACTAAATCCAGGCCTCAGCCCTTCCGTGGCTTTTCTACATAGATATTCTCCACTGTGCTTTAATAAGTACTTGTGGGAGCTGAAATATGAATATGCGTTTTAACCTCTGCTTGAGTAGTAAAAACAGCACAGACACATTATAAGGAAAACCCAAGAAGCACGTGGCGGCTAGATCCTAACTGCCAACAGCCAACTGCATTGGGTCAGAGCTGGAGAGGCTCGTCAGAGTGACTCATTCTGTCTGTGGTCTGCATTTGGAAGCAAGTAAAGCAGCAATCAGTGTGCTAGTTGCCTATTTTAATGACACCATGTTGAATACTTTAAATGTATAAAATAAAACAGGCTGAGAAAATAAAGAAACAAAGAAATTTAGGACTAGACAGAAATCCTAACTCTAAGTGTTTTTGATAAATACTGCAGATTCTCAGGCTCGACCTGATTCGGAGCCTCATGACCGGAGCACAGAAATTTGTCTCTGTATTGTTTTATCACAGGGAAGTTAAAAAAAAAAAAAGAATAAGAAGTAGTCTATAGATATACAGAAATATTGAAGAGCTTGAAAAGTTTTCATCATAATTCTGGACTTTTTCAAAGTTGAAAATGTATGTCACAAAAATAGTAGCTGTGATTGCTACGATCATCAAACTTTCATAAAGTAGACATTAGGTGGATTGATGAATAGTAAGACTATTTGGGGACACAAATTGTTAAAAGGTATTATACTTTTATTCAGTGGTGTGTTGTTACAAAGTATTCCTCAGGAGGTGTTTGACCTCAGCCTTGAATCTGTTAAGTGTTAGCCACTCCATCCATCTCTCTGGAATGTTTCTGTACTTTTCGGAGACTAGTAAGATTATTCATGAATAAACAACATCCAAAATACTTTAATATTCATGGCCACTCAGACTTGGGTGGCCTGCTGATGTCACTCTCTTCCAGAGCACGGCACCGCACCCAGACTGCCACACCACCTGAGGTCCATGGGCAATGTTAGATCTGCAGCAGCAGCACAGGAAAGCCAAATAAATTTTGTGCTAAATCAAAACATAGATTAATCAATAACGATGTTTCTATTTTACTTGGGGAAAAAAGGTTACAATAAACGTTTGTGGCATTAGGAAGTTGCAGGCTGCAAATACATTCTGCCCTGCCTTTATAAATTGTTCATCAATAAATATCAAGATTCAGGAATATCATAGTCCCTTTAACTTACATGTCAAGTTATATATGTCACTGAAATTTGCTGTGAGAATGTGATTCAAGGCTCAACATTAGTTTGACGGGAATGTGAAAATATCATTTGTTATGTTAAAATAATTATGCTCCTTGTGTGACTAATTAAAATGAGGAAACAGCCCTGTTTGGAATAGTTAGGATGAAAAGGAGTTTCTGATTAATTCCTACTCAGAAAATTCAATTATGCAGACTCCACAGTCCATCTACTGGGCTTAGCCAACATTTACTACCTGTGAATTTAAATTGGCAGTTGTTTAATTATGTTTAATGTTTTTGTCTACAACTCTTACCCCATATGTGTATGTTTCCTTATACATACATACATACATACATACATACATACATACATACATACATACATACCATCTATGCATTTCTTTTAGAATTTAATTTATAAACCTAAAAGATGCAAGCTTGTTTTTGTACCTCCTTTAAACAAAAGATATAGTTCACCACAGTCTTAGGCTATTGTTATGTTTGAACTCTATTTATAAGTGTTAGGATTGCCAATTCTATCTTGATAGGATTGAATTATTTTCCAAACAAGTGCTTAATATAGCATAATAGCTCAACTTTCAAAGGAGATTATATTTACTGCA